AAGTTACGACTGCACCGCACAATCTTGGGACCGATCCCAAGGTTCTTTTCACACCCGCCGCGACCCGCTGAACGTTGGCATCAATTTGCTTCACGCCCTGCCGGAGAATTCCCCAAATCTGGTGTGTGACTCGCTTAGCAAATCACCCAGGTGATTTAAGGTCCCTGTTTGGTCATACAGTGAGACCTCGCTCACTGACAACCTCAGGAGGAAGTTACTAAACCAAATACCTTCTGCAGAAAACAAATGTTTGTAGTTGATGTTTGATTTCTTCATTTGCAGACTTTCCAGGACAGATAAATGGAGGTAGATGACAGATAGATTAAGAAAGGGGGGGCGCAGAAATAGATAGTTAGATGATATAGATGACAGATAAATAGAGAGAGATGACAGAGATAGGTGATAGAGAAATAAATGACACAGAGAGAGAGAGAGAGATGGCAGAGAGATAGAGATAGATGACAGACAGATAGAGATAGATGACAGATAGATTAGATAGATAGATGATAGAGATAGATAGATTGCAGATAGATGGATGATAGAATTAGAGATAGATGACAGATAGAGAGAGAGAAACTAGTTGTGATACAGACAGACAGCTAGCTAGCTAAAAACAGAAAAACAAAGATAGAAAGATAAGAGAGAGAGATGTTAACCCATGGAAAACAAACTTGAATAGATGCATAGAAAGACAGAGAAACCTAGAGAGAGTTTTGACGGATAGATAGATAGATACATAGATAGATAAGTAGTTGTGTGAGAGAGATATAAACAGATTATACACACACACACATACATACGTACGTACGTACATACATACATAAGACGGAGGAGGAGCAGAGGGAGAGATAGACAGACATACAGACAGAAAAAAGAAAGAAAAGAAAAAAAGGAAGGAAGAAAGAATGAATTGTGTTTCAGCTATTGGTTCATTTTTCCTGCCCTAGTTTTTTAAAAAATCCACCATGCAAAACACAGTACTGTCCAAAAAATATTTGAATTTGTTCGGGTATTTTCCCACGTCATTATAGTTGTGCTTTTAAAGTTGTAGCAACATTTCGGCAGAATCTCATCTGCCATCATCAGGCTTCTCTATTGGGTTTGTCTGGACACCTGGGCACAAACAGATCCCCCCTGATACCTCCAGCTCAAACACACCCCAACCAGGCACCCAGATATAACCTGGCTTCCTAACACATGATAGCCGTCCATTTACTCGGAGCCAAGCTGCACTAAAAGCCTCCAATACAGGAACACAATGTTACCAGCCAATCAAGAGACAATGAGAATGGGAGAAGGAAGAGAAGGAGGAAGAAGAGGAGGAGGACTGTGGGGTCCTGCGGGCTCTCTGAACTGGGAGATTTTCTTGCAGATGTTTCAGGACCCAACTAGAGAACATCATCAGTGCTAGGAGGGAGGGATGTTTGAAAAGAGGGGGGGAGGAGGAGGAGAAGGAGGAGGAGGTGGAGGAGGAGAAGGACTCTGGGGACCTTGGTGCTCTCTGAACTTGGTGATTTTCTTGCAGACGTTTCATGACCCAACTAGGGAACATCATCAATCTAGTTGGGAGTATGGTTCTATCTTCTAGCACTGATGCTGTTACCTAGAGGGGTCTTGAAACGTCTGCAAGAAAACCACCCAGCTCAGCAAGCACCAAAGATCCCACAATCCTTGCTCTTCCCCATCCTTTTTTCTCCTCTTCCTCCCAACTATTGTTTCTTCCTCCTCCTCCTCGTACACCCTCCTCCCTTCTACCATTGATGACGTTCCCTAGTTGGGTCATGAGACGTCTGCAAGAAAACACACCCAGCTCGGAGGCTCCAGGGTGGGATCTCCGCATCTTTCAAATCAGGTTCTTGAATTGCGTGACCAAGGAGTGTCCTTGCTATGGTCATGGTTCGTCCCGGCCACCTCCTTTTCTCCATTGACTTCTACTTTGTTCTCCGATGTCCCTTTTGGACATCGTTCCACGCGGCCACCGGTGACTACTTTAATGGGATCCGCCGAAGAAACTCCGTACGTTCTTCAAAGCTTGTCCTTCTCGCTTTAGATCTGTCCAGAGGAAGAATATTTTTAGAAGAAAAGAAAGCCGAGGTTCTTCGGATGTCCTCGTTTGCCTTTGTCTTCCAATTTAATTCAGACGATCTCACGAACTTCTGTAGAAGAACTTGCCTTAAGGGAACTTAAAGGAAAAAAAAATATCAATGCGAAGGCAGGCAGGCATGTTTCTTCTTCTTGGGTCCTCCATTTGCCTTGTCTTCCAACTTGGACAGGGGTGGACGGGCTGCTAACAGTTCACACCGGTTTGAGCGAACCGGTTGCTAATTTTAAGGCCGTTTGACATCTGGTTCAGGTCTCCTGCTCGGGCAAGGGGTTTGGACTAGATGACCTCCAAGGTCCCTTCCAACTTGGTCATTCTACGATTCTGTGACAGTCTCCTGCTCGGGCAAGGGGTTGGACTGGATGACCTCCAAGATCCCTTCCCACTCTGTCAGTTCATGTTTCTGTTAGGGTCTCCTGCTCCAGCAGGGGGTTGGGGTAGATGACCTCCAAGGTCGCTTCCCACTCGGTCATTCTGCGATTCTGTAGGTCTCCTACGCGGGCAAGGGGTTGGACTGGATGACCTCCAAGGTCCCTTCCAACTCTTGTCATTCCATGATTTCTCATATGCAAGGGGTGGGCTGCTACCGGTTTGCACCGGTTTGAATGAACCGGTTGTTGATATTATGTCCCTTTCCTTGAACCGGTATATCACCACCCCTGGCTGGGCCCGACCACCCTGTTCTCCCGGGAGTCCCCACGCAAATCGTTTTGGATCCCAGGTAAGTACAGGGCCTGCATGGCGGCTCGGGAAGGGCGAAAAACAGGCCGCCTGGAGGGTCCAGAAGGCCATCAGTGGGCCCGTTTCTGGCCTCTGGAGTCCGGGGGAGGCTCTTTCCGCTTTCCCGGAGGCTGGAGGAAAGACCCCATGGCCTGGGGAGAGCTAAATCACCGCCCTCCCCGCCGTGGGGCTGACTAGGCCACGCCCACCACGGCCACGCCCACCCAGCGACCAGGCAGAGTACTGGTGGCTAAAATTTTTTGAAGCCGACCCTTGGATGACTTCATGAACTTCTGGAGAAGTTGCTGTAAGACCAAAGAGCCACGAAGGATGGATGGGAGTGGAAAAGTTGACGTTTGTGGCGGAAGGAAGAGGCCCAAAATGGAGAAGAGGACCCCAAAGTGTGGAAATAGGGAGTGTGTGTGTGTGTGTGTTGGGGGGGGGGGAATATTGAGCGGAGGAGTTTCTTGAGATGGATTCAAAGTTGTGGGTCAGATTGTCATTGTGATTGTGAGGGAAACTTTGACCCAATCTAGAACTAAGGAGAAGGAGACTGGACAAGCCATTTTGTCCGGAACGCAATAAGGGCTCCTGCTTGAGGAGTGGGGTTGGACTAGATGACCTCCAAGGTCCCTTCCAACTCTGTTATTTTGTAAGTGTCTCCTGCTTAAGCCATGGGTTGGACTAGAAGACCTCCAAGGTCCCTTCCAACTATTTGTTACTTTGTAACTCTGTAAAAGTCTTTTGTTTGAGCTGCGGGTTGGATTAGATGACCTTCAAGGTCCCTTCCAACTCTGTTATTTTGTAAATGTCTCCTGCTTGAACAGCGAGTTGGACTAGGTGACGTCAAAAGGTCCCTGCCAACTCTCTTTTATTCTGTTCTCGTTGGTTATTGTGAGGTTGCGGTTTATTGTTAAACTTGTTTCATTGGACGATTGGTTGCTTCTCGATTGTTTTGTCTGGTATCGCTCCCTGCTTTTCAGTGTTTTAGTTGCAGGCAGGGAGATGGTTGATTGTCTGTTTTTCAGTGTCGGTTAAATGTCATTTATCACAGTGTGTCTGTGGATGGCTGATCTCTTCGAGGAATTAATTCCCCAACATTTTGAACTAGGTTTAGTCGAAGATGGTCACAGTTTCCCCGTTGAAACTATGGTTAAGCCTAACTTGAGCTCCAGAAATTAAAGATTTTTCCATCATGTCTTCTACAGTATCCGTTACTTGGTGTTTGTGGATTTGTTCTCCAGGTCTTCTGCCTGTTTGTCTCACATAGTGACCATTTGCAATCCTTGCCCTCTATGTTGTGCAGTTTGTCCCTGACTTAACAACCACCATTAAGCCCCAGCCCCAGATGTGTCGCTTAACAAAACAGTTGTCCAATGAGTTTTGTCCTATTCCTGCCGACCATCATTAAGCAAATCACTGCAATTGCGATGTTTGTCGCTAGGTTGTTAAGCAAATCCAGGTTCCCCCTGGCTTGTTGGAAGGGGATTGTGTGATCCTGGGACACTGCAAACGTCATAAATATGAGCTCCTGAATTTTGATCACGGAAGCATGATGGTTGTAAGTGTGAAAAGCTGTCCAAAGTCTGTTTTTTTCTTTAGTACCATCATACCTTTGAAACAGTCATTAAATGAACCGTTGTAAGCCAAGGACTATGTATACATGATTTGTGTTTTTCTTCTTCTCCTGGGTTTTTGGGTTTAGAGGTCGTCCGCAACTTATGATGATTCATTTAGTGACCATTCAAAATTACACCACTGAAAAAAGGGACTTGTGACTTTTTTCACACTTACGACCCATGGTCATGTGATCAGAATGGAGACCTTTGGCAACCGACTCATATTTATGTCTGTCTCAGTGTCCTAGGGTCATGTTATCCCCTTTTGCGATATTCCAACAAGGAAAGTCAAGGGGGGGAGGAGAAGCCCGATTCACTTAACAACTGTGGCACTCACTTAACGACTGCAATGATGCACTGAACAACCGTGGCAGGAAAGATCGTAAAATGGGGCAGAGCTCCCCCTTAAGAAATTGTTCTCACTTAACAAAAAGAATTTGGTGCTCCCGTTGGTCATAAGTTGAGGACTGTCTGTATTTAAGGCTTTTTGAAGAAATGTATTGAGTATCAATAACTGAACTGCCAGTTTTTCCTCTTTTTTTTTTCCTTTCCTTTTCTAGAACCTTCCCAAAAAATCATGGAAGAACAAATGCCATACAAAGAATTCCTCAGTCACAACGACGCGTGGAAGGTGGATGACGGCAGCCACGGCTTCGAGTCGCAGCTCGAATTTAAGCCGATGGACACGGCAGGTAAGACGGAGTTCGATTCCCTGAGAATGACTGCAGTTGTTAAGTGAATTGTGCAGTCATTAAGAGAATCACATGGCCCTGAAGTGAACCACACGGTCGTTAAACCAACCCGGTTTCCTTCATTGACTTTGCATGTCCGAAGCTGGCTGGCCACGTGGCAAATGGCGTCATTAGGTGAATCATGCAATCATTAAGTGAATCACATGGCCATTAAGCAAATCCAGCCGTCTCTATTGACTTTGCATGTCAGAAGGTGGCCAGGGATTGTGCAAATTGCGTTGTTGGGTGACTTCTGTGGTCATTAAGCAAATCGTGGTTGTTAAGTGATTCACATGGTCGTTAAGCGAATACAACTGCCTCCGTTGACTTTGCTTGTCAGAAGTCAACTGGCAAGGTTGCAAATGGTGTCATTAGGTGAATTGTGCAGTCTTTAAGTGGATCACGTGGTCGTTAAGCGAATCCAGCTGTCTTCATTGAGGTTGCTTTTCATAAGCTGACTGGGATCGTTGCAAATAGCGTCGTTAGGTGAATCATGTGGCCATGAAGTGAATCATGCGGCCATTAAGCGAACCATGCGGTCGTTAAGCAAACCATGCAGTCGTTAAGCGAATACAACTGCCTCCATTGACTTTGCGTGTGAGAATCTTGCTGGGAAGATTGCAAATGGTGATGATACATGCCTGTTGCTGAGCAACCTAATTTTGATCATGTGACCACAGGAACCGCTGTGCTGGTTGTAAATGTGAGGACTGGTCATAAGTGTGAAGACTGGTCATAAATCTCTTTTTTTTCTGCACTGCCTTTGTCACTTCGTAAAACGACCTTAAGGGAGACTTCCTGTGAGGGTTGTCCATCGGGACAGTTGTAAAACGATTTCAGGGTTGGTTTTGCAATGGTCGTTAAACGAACATGACGGCGTATGCGTGAACCCAGACTTGGAAAAAAATTGATGTAAGTGCCGGTTTTTGGGTGAGGCGGATGGGAGCGTCGTAAAATGGAATCATGTGAGTGCATGACACTGCAAAATGGGATGGAGGTTGATCCCCCCCAGAACTGCATCAAACGGTCATAAGTCAAGGACTTAACAGCCAGTCCTTGACTTACGACCGCTGTATGGAACCTGAGTTTCCTTGCTGAGCCAGGCGGCTTCTTATGCCTGATTTTACCATCTCTTTGGCCACCCCTGTTAAGCCAGCCCCTTCCGTCATTAAGAGAATCCTGCGTCATTAAAACGAATCTGGATCCCCTCTACTCCTAGAATTTACTTGTCGGAAGCCAGATAAGGTGGTCGTGAGAGGGGATAATGTGACAGTTGTTAATTTGTGCCAATTGGGATTTTGATCACATGACCCGGCGACGTGATACGACGGTGGTAAGTGCGAGGACTGGCCCCAAAGTCCCTTTTCGAACCTTTGAAACGGTGATCCCAATGTTTGTACGTTGAGGACTCCCTGGATATGGGATGAGCCAAATTTGACTCTATACAGGTCTCGAGTTACGATGCTTCATTTAGTGACCATTCCAAGTTACGACGGCACCAGAGTGGAGAGAAAGAATTACTCGGGACCATTTTGGCACACGTACGACCATCCCCAGTGTTGCCTGATCCAAATCCTGCTGCTTGGCAACCTGACTCGTCTTTACGACGGTTACTATCACGGGGAAGTTGGGTTCGCTGAATGAACCAGGTTCCAAACCGAACGGGATTCACTTAACGTCAGCGGTTCAGGAAGGTTTATAAAAACGTTGCAAAAGAAACAATGGTCTCTCTTAAGGCAAGAGAAATGTGAGTTCTCCCTTTTTGGCTGTAAGTCGAGGACAGCCTGGAAATTCAGCCTAAAAACCTGGTTTACGTTTTTCTTTCTTGATCTTGCTGGCATTTGAGCCTTAAAATCCTAGTGCAGCCGGTGCATTAAACAGATGCTGCTCAAAATGGAATATTTTTGGCTAATGTCCTTGTCTCAAAATAGCTGCCCAGATCAAAAACAGGAAGGGAGAAATTATGAAGAGGAGAAATACAGATGGACTCAATCGATTGATCCTTTTAATTGGTTTTTTTTTACAGGATATGGGTAGGGGCGGGCTCAAAAAATTTCAGCAACTGGTTCGCTCAAACCAGTGCGAACCAGTAGCAGCCCACCCCCCCTGGATATGTGGAAAGGGCGAAGGGACCTCGGAGGTCATCTAGTCCAACCTCCTGCCTGGAAAGGAAGGCAGGCCATTTCCATTCCTCTCCAGGCTGCGGGGATGAAAATTCGCATCCGGATCATCCCAATTTTTAGGGGGTTTTTTGGGGGGTGGGGTGGGGGCAGCTTCTAGTTGAGAAATTCTTGAGATGGTTTAGGAATAAAAAGCTGGGTTTGTTCCAATTTCTAGTGCAATCTGGCTGTTTGGAGAATAAATTTGAGTTAGTGCATTTAAAACGAGGGAAATTTATTTTGGATGCCAACCAGTCGGACTTTAGCTGGCAGTGCAAGAGTAAAACGGACTTTAGTTGGCAGTGTAAATACCCGGAATGATTAAAAAAAATAAAAATAAAACTCAGCGACATTAACACGGGTGGACTTCGACTCCTAGAATCCCCCCTGTCAGCGTGCTTTAATATTGGTCTCTCATTATCTTCAATTCCTTCCAGCACTGATGATGTTCCCTAGTGGGGTCACGAAACGTCTACAAGGAAATCCCCAACTCATCCCCAAGGACCCCACCGTCCTCCTCCTCCCCCTCCCGCTCCTTTTTCTCCTCATTCTTTCCTTCTTCTTCCTCCTTCTCTTCTTTCCCTCTTCCTCCCCCTTCTTCCTCCTTCTCTTCCTTCTCCCGTTCCTCCTCCCCCCCTCCGTTCCTTTTCCTCCAGCGCTGATGATGTTCCCTAGTTGGGTCACGAAACATCTGCAAGGAAACCAACCAGCTTAGAGAGCCCCAAGGACCCCACATTCCTCCCTCCCTCCTTTTTTCTCCTTTTTTCTCTTTCTCGTCCACCATGGTAGATATCCTGCTGGAGCCGGAACTGGACTAGATGACCTCCAAGAGTCCCTTCCACCTCTGTTATTCTTTAACTCTGTAAAGGTCTCCTATTTGAGCAGTGGGTTGGACGAGATGACCCCCAAAGGTCCCTTCCAGCTCTGTTATTTCGTAAACGTCTCCTTTCCTTCCTCCTTCTTTTCCACAAACCCACCTTCCCTTCCAGACCTGACGATGTTCCCTAGTTGGGTCACAAAACATCCGCAAGCAAAGTCCCACCCTGACCTGCAAAGTCTCCCTCCCTCCCTCCCTCTCCGTCTCTTTCTCCCTCTCTCTTTCTCTTTCTCTTGCCTCGCTAACTCCGTCCATCCCTTTCACGCTCCGTCGTCTCAAACTCCCAACGTCTCCTTCGGAATCTCGCCAATGGACGTTTCTCCTCAGTCTCGCCAGATGACAGTCCTGCTGCAGGGCAGCGTCTCAATTTTGTGTGTGTGTGTGTGTGTGTGTGTGTGTGTGTGTGTGTGTGTGTGTAATAGATAAAGGCAAGCTGTCAGAAGGTCGGGACGAGGGCATTTGCGCGCTTTGCTGCTCCATTTTTCGTCAGGGTGGATATAATAGGAAAGCTGTCAGGAACGATCCGGGTGAATTGTTGGGCAGCTGTCGGGTTCGAAAAGTGTCTTAAAACAAAAAACAAAAAACAACCCTGTCCAGCAAACCGGATTCCTAGTCGTGACAAAAGGCCAGTAATCCTCGGCTTTCAACCGCCGTGGTGGCCACGGTTCCCGTGGCAAAGTAAGCAATCTGTGAAATCCGCTTCTTGCCTCCTTTTCTTGCTGCCGTTGTTAAGCGAACCACCGCTGAGCCAGATGTTAAGTGAATCTGGTTCTCCTGTGGGCTTAGCCCGTCACAAGGCCTGGGAACAAGGGCGCCTTTCATCACAGATACGAGTCCATTGCTGCATTTGACCTTCTTGTTCCATGGGGACGCTACGACGGCTGTTCGCTTGAAAAAACAGTCATATGTTGCTTTTTTCCCCCAGACCTGCTGTAATTTCAAAGGAACGGTTGTAAATCGAGGACAGCCTGTTTTTCGTTTAGCGACCTCCCTTCTTGCCTTCGAAGGGTGCAAGGGAGAGTAGAAGGGGGTAGGAGAAATATTCTCAAATAAAATTATTTGCCAGTTGGAAAGGAGATTATTCAATTTGCTACTTGATTGGCGAGTGGCTATTTCGCAGGAATCTTCCCAGTTTGGCTGTTTTCTACCTTGGCACAGATCAGATAAGGTTCAAGGTCATTGAAGGCAGCTCAAATTCCCCTTCTTTCCCCCATGTCAGGATTCCGGATGATGGGCCATCTTCGACTGAATGGCCACCTTTCGAGCCCAGCCTTCCCGTTGCTAAGCAAGACACCATTCTTGGGAGTTTCGCCCAACTTGACTCACTTCCTGGCTTGCCATAGCGGCGAAACGAATCGCTGCCGTTCTTAAGTCACACCCTTGGGGTGGCCAGTCCGTTGGCTTTTGCTACTTTCAAAGGTCAAAGCCTGGGGGCACTTGCGACTGTCGTAAATATGAGTCGGTTTTGCCAGGTGTTATCAAGTTTTGACCTGTGCCTGTACAGATGCCATCGGAGTCATGAGCGTGAAAAGAATGGTCATAAGCAGAGGGTGGGGTTAACCCGGTTCAGACCGGTTTGGGAGAACTGGTTATTTTATTTCCCGCGGCCGCGGTAGAAGGTGAGCGTTAGAGCTGTTTTCAAACGCACCGCACGCACGCTCACCAAACCAGTTGTTACACTGGCTGAATCCCACCGTTGATCCCAAGTCATGGGTTTCCCCCCACTCCACCCCGTGACGTAGTGTTGAATGGTCACTAAAAGAATGGTTCTAAGTCGATGCTTACTTATTCCTGGCTCTGCCCAAGGGACAAGCAGTCCTCGACTTAACAATAATTCATTTAGAGAAGGTTCGGATAAGATACGGTTCGGATACAAGAAGTTTTAACAGCAGTTAAAGCAGATCAGAGTTCATCCGTTTATGCCTCTGTAAGGATTCCAGGCTAATTGCTTGCTTGATTCCTCCTCCAGTCTCTGTTTGAGAGAGATACTGAACCAACCTGGAAGCAGCCTCTGACATCATGGTTTGTTTGACGCCAAAGCCCATCTTAACCTGGCTAATTGAAAGAAGGGTCCCCCAGGCCACATTGTCTGAAGGTTGCCCGACCTTTGATCTTTGGGGCCACTTTTGAGTCACAACAGACCCAGGTGATTGAGAACTGTGTCTGGGTTGTAGACCTGAAAAGAACCCATGTTCTTTTCTCCAAAATTCTCCGGGGAAACATCACCTTTCAGGTAGTCCTTGACTTAAGGTCAATTTGTTTAGCGGCGGTTCAAAGTTCCGATGGCGCAGGAAAAAGTATCTTGTGACCGTTTGGCACACTTACGACCGTTGCAGCATCCCCATGGTCAACCTACCCAAATGTGGATGTGTGGGGAAGCTAGATTCACTTAACAACTGCATGGAATTGCTTAACAATGTTGGGGATTAAGTTTGTCAAAAAGCGGGCAAAAATCCACTTCCCAAAGTCTCCTTTAGCAACAGAAATGTCGGGCTCAATTGTGGTCATAAGTCAAGGAGTCGCAGTACTCCGAGCCACGAGAACACCCCACCCACCCCAACGGTCACTCAGCAACTGGTCATAAGTCGAGGAGCACCTGCAATTTCTTGTATCGCATACTTAAACCTTACTACATGTCCTCGATTTCCAGGGCTGGGCTGATACCGGTTTGCCGTGGTTTAAGCGAACCGGTGGTTAATTTTATATCCTCCAGAACCCGGGGAGGGCAAAAACCGCTTCCACCCACCCCGCTGTGGTGCAAGGAGGGCAACTACGGCGCGACCACCATGGCCATACCCACCCAGCAACTGGGCAGAGAACTGCGTGCCACGTTGTTTGAAACCAGGTTCCGAGGTTGGAAAAATCACGTAATTGTCGATTTCCCCCCCGCCCTCCTTAGAGATGTTTTCGATGCCCCATGAAGACGTGTCTGACCTGCTTCTCCTTTCCGAAGACATGATGGGTTTCGGACAATATTTTGGCGCTCCGAAGGAATCCCACGGTAGATTTTGCGGTCCTCGTTTTGTTGACTGCTCGAGTTTTAGGCTGGCTGTCCTGCTCCAACCGAGAACGTCCCCTCTCAGCCCTCGGTTGCCAGGAGGGGATATTCTGCCCGACAACCTCTTTTATTCTCGGGTGCTTGGGAAACTAATTTTAGGTGGACGTCTTCCATTTCCTGGCTAATTGTTTCTAATTTGCATGCTGGCTTGTTAATTTGCAGGAGTGCTGCCATCCGTGTTCCCTTCCGATGTTTTTTGTTTAAAAATGAATTTTCTGGGCCTAGTTTTGGCAAAGGACGTAACAATAAACACGAACTAATAAAAGGGGAAGGAGGAGGGAAAAAGGGGTGGAGAGGGGAAAGGAGGAAGGAGGAAGGGAGGGATAAGAAAAGGAGGATGGATGGATGGATGGATGGATGAAGGGGAGGAAGGAAGAGAAGAGTAAGAAAAGGAGGATGGATGGATGAGTGGATGAGTGGATAGATGAAGGGAAGGAAAAGGAGGGAGGAGTAAGAAAAGGAGGATGGATGGA